CCTGATGATTTCCATTCCTTTGGGTATACACTTAGAAGTGGGATTGCTCGATTGTATGGAAGTTCTATCTGTAGTTGTTTGAGAAACCTCCACACTGTTTTCCATAGTGGCTGTACTAATTTACAGTCCCACCAACAGTGTAGGAGTGTTCCCTTCCCTCCACACCCTTGCCAGCATTTGTTAGTCTCTGTCTTTTTGATTATAGCCAGTCTACATAGGGTGAGGTTATATCTCAATATGGTTTTAATTTGCATTTCCCTGATGACTAGTGATGGTGAGCATTTTTTCATGTACATGTTGGCCATTTGTATGTCTTCCTTTAAAATCATCTTTAACATTTTAAGGATTTAAAAATTATTCCATTTTAAGGTGCATGCAAAATAGGCTGGCTATTATAATCACACATAGATGAAGTTTAACATATACAGGGGGAAATACAGAAAATCAAAGGAATCTCATTGCCTTGTCATTAGTGTAGTGATTAATGACGGCTCTTTTGCTATATTTACATTGAAATTATTGATTAGTGTATGAAGAAATTTAAGTGAAACCTTTGTCCTTAATTCTTAAGAAATAAACTATTTAATTAACTAAGTAACACAAAGTCTAGGTATAGTTTTTTCTAGGTTTCTGCAGCAACTGAAGGTTATTATTGAGAATTCAGTGTCCTTTTATTTTTCTCTTCTTGCATCCTCAAAATGTTGGCTTTTCTTTGTATGCTTACAGTTTCAAGGCCTTGGAAATTTGAGGCTTAATATCCGCCAGTGACAGCATCACAGCAGGAAGAAAGAGAAAGTGTCATGGAAAGAATTCTCCTTTTAATATATCTGTTGATGAAATACAATATCATTCTCAGAAACCATGCATCATAATAATGTTTACAGTGCAGAAACTAAAATATACCATGTGACCACTCCTAGCTTCTGAAGTGTCTGGGAACCTCAGTATCCATCAAAGGGGAATGGGATTAGTCATTGGTTGCCTTACATCTCTGGTGCTTTCCAAGTGGGCTACTTGGTCTGTGAATATTGCTACCCGTCTAATCCCAAAACAATATGATAGCTCTGTTAGCCAGGAACACTGGCTAACAGAGGACACTGAAGCCAAAGGGGTAAGGACCCTGAAACAAAATTGTTTAAATGAGTCTTTTCAAAAATCCAATAATTATTTCAGTAATTCAAGCATATTGGAAATTTTAAATAGGTAATTTTAGAAGAGATGCATTAGTAAAACTAAATTGCCAACATTTAAATTAAAATATGAATTTTATATGTCAACCCATAACTGTAGTTTACCTTTTACTAACACACTAAGAAAAGCATTACATTATGAATTAGTACTTGAGAAATTCTCTAAGGATGTTTAACAGAGTTTTGGGAAGAAATCTTTTAATATTAGATAAAGGCTGTTTTATGTTTAAAAAGTTAGAAAATGTATGTAACTACCGAATACAGGAAATTACTTTTAAATGGTGTTAACTTTTAATATAAATAGCTTGTAATTAAGGTGAGTAAAATGATTTCCTGACATCAACTTGTTTTCTGAGATTTGTATATTAAGTAAATGCTAAATATTATAAACATTAGCAGAAAGATACCAAGCATGGTGTCAAAAAAAAAAAATTGAATGTTTTGATTTTTGTTTGTAACCTTCTGTGGTTTTAGATTTCTCATTAAGGAAACTAAATTAGGTAATCAGTTACTAGAGTTAAAACCATATATCAGATTTTTGGCATTTTAACACTGTAGATGGTTAAATCCCATAACCAGCATTTGGATGGAAAAACCTAATAGTATAAACATTTCTTTTTTTCATTCAAAACTCAATTAAAATGAACATATTAATCTTTTTTTATCTTGAGTTTCTAAATGACTTCCCCTTACTCATAATTTGCACATGTAATAAATGACCATAAGACTATATAAAATTGTCAAATAATCAACAAAAATATGTTTGAGAAAAATATGATATTTCAAAATTAGTAAGATAAGGGCTTAGAAAATTAGATAATTGACAAAATAAATTTTTTTTTTTTCTTTTTGTCTTTATTACTGACCGGTAACGGGATCGCAACCCTCGGTGTTGCGCCCGTACCGGGGACCGGCAACGGGATCGCAACCCTTGGTGCTGTTCCCGCACCGCGCTCAGCCAGTGAGCGGGAACCGGTCTCCACATGGGATCCGAACCCTCGGGTGGGAGCGCCGCCACACTCCCAAGCGGCACACTCTCCAGTGCGCCACCGGGCCGGCCCTAGCAAAATAAATTTTTAATTTTACATCTAAATTCTCGAGTTCTTCCATAATTCCTGGGCTAGTTTTAAACTAACATTTTAATCTGAAAATATTTTTTCTTCTACTCTTATTTATTACAGGCAGTGAGCACAGATCCTGTCCCAGTTAAATTACACTATGACAAATCACATGATCAAGTTTGGGTGCTAAGCTGGGGCACCATGGAGAAGACTTCACCAACACTACAAGTAAGCACTCAGGATATTTGAGAAAATAATGTTCTTTGAAACCTTTAGATATCTCACTGGATATTAATAACCATTGAACATCGATATTCTTCTATCTGAGGATTTTGTTTGTTTGTTTTGTTTTTATTGGTTATGAATACTCATGGGGTACAAATCACAGCTAGATACCAAAGAAAAAGGAACAAAAAAAGTTGATAATCAAGTCCTTTTTTGGACTGGGAAAATTCATATTTATTAAAGGTCATATCTGTATGCTGAAAGAATAACCTGTGGTGACAAAGCCAATACAATTAAGAAAAAAAGTCATAATTTACCTTTCAACAATTTCAGTGGTGCATGTGAGATAGAGACCAAGAGAATTAGACAGCAAAAACCTCAAAGCAGAAAAAAGCTTCTGTTTTTTCCAGACAGGTAGCATTTTATTATCTGAGCAAAGGCTCTCATCCTCATTGGGGAATATGTGATATTATTCTTGTGGAATTTGCTTCTGCTTTGAAGTTGTTTATGTGAGAACTTCACAGATACAGGGGAAAAACACATTTTGACCATGGCCTTTTGGCACAGTCTTCCGATTTTTGAAGTTACAAGTTTAAGAGGAAACAGAAAGGGAGTGGGTAGGAATGTGTGGCTATGGGAAGAAGTTCTATATTATTTCTCAAACTTCTTTGTGATTATGCTACTTCCTAGACTATACCTCTCTTTACAAGGCCTTAAATAATTAACCTTTCACCATTTTTCAAAAAAAGTCTGTTGAATGCAATTGTCTTATTTTTAATCAGTTGTCACTACCAATACTTTAATGTTTCTGAGGTATTTTCAGTATTTCAGTATTTAACTTACAAATGACAGGTCTATTGAAATGAAATATTTTAAGGTATCTATCTGAATGAGGGTTCATCTTATTTTCATTAGAAATGTGTTATTTGAAACATCAAAAATGTAGTATTTCAGTTATGTATTGTTGCAAGTCAATTTACCCCAAAACTTGAAGTCTTAAACAAAATTAACAAATATCTTATCATTCATAGTTCTGTGAGTTGGATGTTTGTGCCCATGTGATCCAGGAGCACAGTCACCTGATAACTGGACTCCAGTCATCTAATAATTTGGCTGGAGTTGGAGGGTCCAAAATGGCCTCACCCTCATGTCTGTCATGTGGTAGTGTTGCTCAGCTGGGTGCCTTGTGTCCTTGCATGTGACTGCTCACCCTTGAGCCTGGCATCTTCACAGCATATTGGTTTCAGTTACAAAACCAGTTAAGATCTAGAATCCAGAATCCACATAAAGTCACTTCTGCTACATCCTATTGATCAAATCAAGCTGGACTGTCTGCCCAAAATCAAGAGGATGGAATGATAGAGCCGATCTTTTTATAGGCAAAGGACAATCTTCACAGTGAACAATTGTTAGAATGATCTATCTCAATAGGGTCATAATGGAGTTTAGTTCTTTGAGGTTTTGTATTTAGTATAATCTTGACAAGATGAATAAAATAGGTCAGTATATATGATTTTTTAATAAAAATTATATATCTTATAAATTATTTTAATACTATTACCTTTACGGTAAACATAGTTTAAAAAGCTGAAAACTACTTTTTCTTTCTTTTTTTGAAAAATAAAGCTGCATATATTTTCAATATATAGTACTCTTCAGCAGTGATCCCTTTCCCTCCCCTTTGGTTCTTGCTACTTGGAGAGATTAACAACTTTCCCAGTGTTGCAGTATCTCCACAAAGTAACTTAGACAAATTCCTCTGCAATTGTACAGAAAAAAAAGGCTTTATTGAAGTGTTAAGAAACTTCCCATACATTACCCAGCCATGTAAAAATGAGTTCATTAGTTTTCTTTGAACACAATAAAAAATATTTTATGCTAATAGAATATGATAGTTTTTTTAAAATTTTGCTCAGTGAGAGTGAAAGGTAAGTGTTATACCCAAAAATATAAAACAGCTTGTAGGAATTAATAAGTACTCTTAAAATAGTACATATAAGAAGAGTTACTTACATAAGGTTTCTCTGTGTATGTACATATATATGAAGATGTAAAAGAGAGGTAGATGATAGTCAGACAGACTGACAGAAAGCACAGTCTCTGGATTAGAGGATAGACTATTTCTTATTCACGGAGCATGTTAGTGTGCATTCCCTGGCCCTTATCAACACTGGGAGATGTGGTGAGAGACTAATGTTACCCTGCACATCCAGCACAATTGCACTATAGGAAGACCCTAGAATTATGTGTTCTAAGGGTTTTTTTAGGCTTCTGGCCTAGCAGCCCATCTCCTTTTCTGGAGAGATAAAGATTATCACTCTGGTATGCAGGGATATCTCCTTGAAGGAGAGGGGTAGATCCGTACTCTGGAATGTCATTAATTGGCTCAAAAGAGATAATTTTCTAAACCTCTCAGGAGCAATACACCATCACTAGTCTTCAAGGCATTTTTGCTATGCCATCATCCTTTAATCAAGTTTGCCAGTGCCCTTTGCTCAGAAAGACCTGACTCTGCAGAAATGTCAAAATATCGTGGATAATTGTCTCTCAACATGATTTTCAGGAAACATGCACAAAGAAAATGGGATTTAAGATATGTTTGAAAAGGGGAACAAGTATTTCTTTGGAGAAATTGAACTCACAAAACCAAACATATGGGCAAGCTCTCACTTTGCTACAGAAATTTGGTGCCATAATGTTAAAAGATTAGATTGGAAAGACAGAGTGACACTAGTTTGTGAAGTCTAGAAAGTAACTTTTTTGCCCTAATGCAATATATCTTTGGTTCTTCCCTCCTCTGGACACATGCTGGACCCCTGTTGGTTGGGTGAGGGCCAGGTGACGAGTTCTGACAAATTACTTGTATTATAAGAGGAAACACTCAAATTTGGGATGCGGGGTGAAACAGTGAAAATAGCAGATAGCCTGCCAAGCCTTCTGGGCAAGTAACACATGAAACAAAATATTTAATTTCTTAGCCACTGAGACTTTAAGGTTTATTTTCTGTTTTGTATTTTAACAGTAACATAACAGCCTATCCTATTAGAACAATTTTTCAGTGAACAATGGCAATTTCTAATGGGACTCAATGAAAGTACATTCATTTGAATAAAGAAAAAAATGCCCTTTCAGAAAACAAACAAGCAACAAATAAAAATGCCTCTTATTTCTGTCATAAAAACCAAAGAAAAATATTCAGTTTTGAGGGAGGATTTGCATTTAACTTAAGAGACTCAATCAATAGTTTAAGAAGTTAATTTGGCGGCCATATGGAGGAAGTATTTAGAAAAGGAAAAATTGAAGGCAGAAAAGAAAGCCCTTTAAAGGGTAGCACAAAATAATTGCTGTGCAGCAGGGACAAGGAAGATAAATATGGAGCTATAAGAAATATAAAGGAAGAACTGAATAGATTTTGGTACTTAATGAGAAAGGAGGAATGAAAGAGTTTAAACGTCATAATCTTTCCTTTAATGAACTATAAAAGTTTAAAAGCCATTTAAGGATGAAAGAAGAAAACTTTTGGATTAAAACTTACTTAAATCACTTATTTTCAATGTACAGGAAGAAAAGTTTTTAAAATATGTTTTATGTATTCTAAGATTTTTGAAATTTATAATGTTTTATACAACTTACTTGGGAATTTTTAGACCTGTGTTGCCAGCTATGTTATATGGAAGGGATTTTGACCTAATATTTCATTTACATTACCTGTATGTTTGCTTTTATTTTTCTCATTATAGGAAGTTTACCATTTTTATAATGTAAACGTTGCTTATGTGTGTATTTGCTTAATATTGTAAGACAAAATTATTCAAGACAAATACTTTTTTTAATTTTTCTATAGAAACAGAAGTTGAAAATAAATTACAATTACAGAATTGCAATTTACTTACCTAATAATATACTAATTTTAAGGAGGTCAATAAAGAATCTATGAATTCAACTGTCAGAAATAGCTTTGTTTCACTCTAAATAAAATTTAAGCTCGTTTTCTTAAATGACTGCGTGACTGAGGTGTATACACCCTGTGTTCTGCTTAGGTAATAACTCTGGCCGAATCTATGAATTCAACTGTCAGAAATAGCTTTGTTTCACTCTAAATAAAATTTAAGCTCGTACTCTTAAATGACTGCGTGACTGAGGTGTATACACCCTGTGTTCTGCTTAGGTAATAACTCTGGCCAGTGGGAATGTGCCTCACCACACGATCCACACCCAGCCAGTGGGAAAGCAATTCGACAGAGTGGATGATTTTTTCATTCCCACCACAACGCTCATTATCACCCATATGAGGTAAGTGCTAAGTTGAGTGATCAGCTTTTTTAGACTTCTCTCTAATTTTAATAGAAAGGCACATGAGCTCATAAAAAAAAGTATAAAACAAATACATACATACAATTGCATATGATTTAGCGTTGCCACATCTCATTGATGAGCCTTTCTTTATTAGCATTACTGATATATTTCCCATAATATGTTTTTAATGCCTGAGAGAAGTAAATTTATAAAGATGTAGTTGTATTTTTTTAATCAGTTTAACAGTTAATATTCTTCCAAATTATCATTAGGGTTCTTCTTACTAGGCTCTTGAAAAATGCTGGCATTTCCTGGAAATACAAATAATTTAAATGATAGAGTCACTTTTTAAATTGAGAAAATTTTCTTTTGCTCTTGTCATCATAAAAGTCCTGTAGCCATAGAAATTTATTCAATATATTTTTATAACACTCTTGTACCATTTTTGCTCTTATTGAAATTAATATAAAATTGTATTGGGAAGTACAGTAAGTTGAAATGAAATGTTTGAAGTCTGCACTTTGAGAAAACATGTTGGTGTTTTCTCTCTCTCCGTGTACTTTCTAGAGGTGAAAAAATGAACATTAGCTTCCAGTAATATCACTCCAAAGCTTCGTAGAAGCAATTTATATGCTTAAAGGAGGATTTTGGTATATCTGTTTTTCAGTACTATGTTTCTTGATAATTTTTTGAAACAATTTAAAAATATTTGTTTACCAATATTAAAAATGAATCTCAGCCAAGCACATATTTTTCCTTTTTCTCAAGTGAATTCTGATGTGTGGAACTACTCCAGTTATGTTATATGAGCCATTATTTTATTCTTATGTATATTTGTTTTCCTTGCATTAAATTGGAAATTATATTATCTAGAATTTGGAGTTATAAGAATTCTGGATGAGTGAAAAATTTAATTTTGCAAAACTAAAAAAGGGGGATTAATAAGTCAGAATTATAATTCATAGTCACAGATAGAATAAATTATTTATTGCACAGCCAAATATGTTTTCAAAGAGTGATGTATTTGCCAAGCAATGGACCATTGTTTTCAGAATGCCTATCATGTACTCAACTATAAAGTCATTAAAAACATAATTTGCTGTCACAATTATTACACATTTTTATGGAAAATAAGTAGTACTTATTGAACTATACAATATTTGAAAAATATTTACATCAAAGCAATAATTTTTAGGTTCTGACTGCTAGCACTGTGATAGCTTAAAGACTGAAAAAATCAGTGTTGAGCTGAAATAGTACCACTTGAGATGGTATCTACGGAATGAAAGTTTTTATATTTAATGGATGAGGATAAAATTTTACTTAATTGGCATTGAGTGTTATTTTCAAATTGTTGGTAAGTTATTAGTAGCCAATAATTAAATATGTAACAGTTGCTTCTATTTATCCCATTTGCAAATTTCCTATTACTGAATTTAATATACTATTATCAACTTTGCTTTTTTTTTTTAAATGTATTATTAGTACAATTTCTTGGGGCAGAGTTCTAGTGTCTCTGAAACTACTAGGCTTAATACTGTATAGGTTGAGAGTATCTTTCCTCCTACAACTCGTAAATTGTATCATTGTGTTGAAATAGCTACCAAGGCGAGAGTATAGACTTTTGCTGCATGCAGTTAAGTGTTATGTGTAATCTGTGTTCATATATACAATTTATATATTGCCAGAATGTAGCATCTCTTTAGGCTCTAAATGGTTAGTACATATCTGGAGTTGGGGGTAATAATAATTAGAAAAACATCCAAATAATGTGAACAAATATAAGGTACCATTTTATTTCAGTTTTTTCTATGTATTATGAAATAGTCTAAAAAGTAAGGTTGAGGATATTTTTTTAACATTTTTATACCTTTTAGGGATGTGTAGTAGAATGCATGGGTGGTTTGCCAGTACTTTGTTTAATTAGTAAGAATAATTTAGTAAGAATGAATAAAATAAATTACAGCAATTCTGCCTGTGTATAGAATCCCATAGTAATGAATATGAATGATTATCTGATTTCTTATTGCAGTTCAAAGTAATTACTCTTATTATGACAGTGGATGGTAAGAGTAAAAATTGACATGCATTTCCAAAAATGAATTCTGAAGTATGTAATGTATTTTTGAAATAATGAGAATTTATTCTACTTCAGGGACACCTGAGTGATAGATATGGTCTTTTCTCCTACCAATTTCATGTAATATATTTTTAACCAATTTTGATATGTGTTTAAATATGTGTGGCTGAGGTCAAATATTTATGAATTGTGTTTTTCAGAATTTGACACTACTTTCTGACTGTTGTGCTTGTAGATAGTTCCATTCCAGGCAAAGGGTCTGACATATAATGTGTGTTTAATTAATATTAGTTTTCTTCCTCTGACCCTACATCACATTAATCTGCTTTTCTCTCAGATTGCTACATCCTCCTTTCAAATAATTTTTATCTCCAATGTCTGAAAAGCCCTTGGACAAGTGTCAGGATTTATGTGCTTAATGCCTAAAAACCAGTAGGCACTTAAAATCACATTTCTCATAGGAATGGAAATAAGGAAGAAAGTGCCACACTATATCCTAAACCAGATTATATAGTACTGAGGAAAGAACTATATTTCCTATGTGCTTGATTTCTCTTCATCTAACAAATTACCAACATGCAGCAAGTGCTGCATCTAGAGCACATGAATTGTGTGGAATCAGTAAACAGCACTAATAAGAATATAGATCTGTCAGAAAAATCTACGCCCGAATGTCCCAGTAACACCATTTGCCATTGGCTATAGTGAGTTTAGCCAACTTCATTTTTTTTAAGGATTGAAATGAAATAATGTTTAAGTATTAAATTGCTCAGTAACAGTTGTCCAGATTGTTCATAACCTACACTGGGACCCTGGCTCCCTTGTGATTAGTCACAATTTTGCTAAATGTTTCTGTTTTCCCTGCCTGATTTCTTCTCATTTTTCCTCCAGTTTTTTTGTTTGTGTATATTTTTTTTCCTGTGCCTATAATTCTCAGGTTTCTTTAATCTGTCTGTAGGGTAAATAAGGACTGAGGAATTTAAGAATACCAAAATGGGTATGGTAATTTTCTTGACAGTGGCAATCGCTTCACTATGTATATGTATATCAAGATAAGTACGTCAAAACCTCATGTTGTATACCCTAAGTATATATAATAAAAAAAGAACACCCAAATAACTTTACAAATCTACATTAAAAGATAAATTTATAGTTTAAAAACATCAATTTTCACAAAATTTGGGAAGTTCACTTTTTAAGAGTACTTAAAATTCTCAGTACTTTAAAAATTCTTGAATACGTAATTTAGTATCATTTTGAATCACCTTAGGAATTTGAATTTCGGTGAACTCACTTTTATGTTCAAAATATCTGAGAATGAGGGCCTGGAACCACCCACTCAATTCAGTTCTTCAACTGAATCCTATCCCATCCCTGAGTGATAATTTGCACAGTCATTCCTGTTTAATACCATGGAGTAAGGGCTTATTAGTAAAACTATCCCTTTTTGGTTTTATTTCAAACTTTCTTCTCAATAGAAATCAGAAGATTATGTGAACCTTAGACTGAGAATAATGCCACACTACATTTGATCTTAATCAAAATAATCTTTCGGTTACTGAGCTCTGGACACTAGACCAAGCTTGACACTTGTCTTTTTCTTTCCTGAAGAAGTTTAATGAAAGGAAACTCCAGGAAGATGAGAGAGGATGTACGTCTCCCAGATCGTTCCAGCTACCTATTGAGCTTCTGAAAGGGACTGACTAAATACTTACTGACCAAAAGAAAGTTTATTTTTAAAAGGTTAATAAAACTCTATCATGCATATTTTCAATACACCAGAGTATGAGTTAGTTAATTCCCCCTCACCAATTGTTGAGGAAAAACTTAAATAAATAGAAATTTAGTTAATAACAGAGATGCTTTCCTAATGTTTATTAAAAACATTCTGGTTTAGACCACTCTAAAATTTTATGCCTTTTTGTTTTTAAGTAAGAATTTTTTTAAATATTTTATGTTCTGTTAATTTAAACAAAAAGAGTAGAATTTAATATTTAATAAATGATGTATTTTTTACATTAGTACTTCATTCTACATTTCAGTTAACTGGCAATGTGTATTAACCAGGCAATCATTTTCAGACTTGTAGTTAGTAAAGAATTTTCTTTAAAAACCTTAAAGTCAGGCAAAAAATTAATAAATTATGAATCATACATAGTTGTACAGTTGAAGAGTTTATGCAGTGCAAAAGAAGTATATTTTACAATGACATGAGAAATATAAATTTATTGTATGAAGAATTTCAACTTAGATTTTTATCTCCTACAAGTAAAAATCGATAGGTAAAATTAAAAGAGAGACTTAAAAATGAAGATGCGTGTAATTCTCATAAGAATTAATTAGGTCTATTTAACATAATAAATATTGAAATAATAACTCATTATCATTTTAATCAAAAGTTCTCTATAAATATAAAACAAAATGTTTCATTATTTCCTTCTAATTTGTATCCAAAGAACTAAGTTATTATACAACCCCATTGTCAAATTAAATTGAAATTACAGTATCATTATATGTAAATAGATATATTTGAATAATATTGTAATTCTATGATTCTTACTGTTTTTATGATATGCCTAATGCATGGGGAATTTAATGATTTTTCTAATCAATCTTCTGAAGTTAGCCAAGTAAATAGAAAGTAATTTAAAAAATAAGCTTTATTATTTTTCAGAAACATTCTTACAATGCCTGTGTTAAACCTCAAAGCAACTAAATCTCATAATGCATGGACATTTACATAATTGATTGTTTTATTTTGGTACCGTTCTGAAGAGAGAAAAATGTTAATGTTGATTTTTAAATGGTGTGGTATGTGTAAACATTGCAGCTTGCTGTGCAGGTGTTACTAGAATTTGCATACAAGAAATGAAAAACATTAGGTTTGGCAGTGACATGTCACGTTATTATATTTTCT